AAAAAAAAAAAAAAAAAAAAAAATTACGGGGAATCATTCTCACCTCTGACCTCTCCAGTTTTTGTAAGAGGAGGCCCAACACAGCCTGGTTTAAAATAAATGAAACACATAACCACGATGTCCAAAAGTGAACACGGCTTCAGAGCTGGTTGGCCCAGGGGCTCTCCAATAGCATGGAGTTCCACACTTCCTTCTTTCTGCCACAGTATTAGCTCCATCTCCTCATGACTGAAATTCGGTGGTGTGTAAAGATCACACTCCATGCTTCCTCATTCTTGCCTAGCAAAAGGTCTCACTGTTCCAACAAGCACTCTGCACCCCTCCTCAGAGAGTGTGGCCAGAGGAAGAGTTTGCCAATCCTGTAAAGCCAACCAGCCTCCAGAACATGGGAGAAATTCAAGAGAAAATGTGGGTGACAGTAAGTGCTGAATAGTTCATCACTGGGTGGGCTGTCTCTCCCAGGTGGTTTTTAAGAATAAAAATACCCAGATGGTTAATTGCGTCCACTACACACATCTTTTGAGACAAATTCACCCCATTCGAGTGAGTCCAGTTCTGGTCAGTGAGTTATCCTGTCAGAAACCATCTGCTGATCTAATTAAATGTCTGAAGACTACAACTGGCTTCTAATGTGCCCCTTTCGGCCACATGTTTCTGTGCTGGGTACCATGAAAACCGGCATTCCACTGGGCTCAAGACCTCGAGATGCAGCTCGGAAGCCATGGACTCACTAAGACGGGATCAGGAGGCCCAGTGCTGACCCGGCCCGGGCCGGGCTCCAACCATCCTACTTCCTCAAATTAGCAGTCCTGATTACATAAATTACACAGCTTACTAAATGCATCCAAAATTCTGACAAAAATTTTTTTCCAGTCTGGTTTATTTCCAAAGGTGAAAAGTCTAAATTATAAAATATTACAATGTCCCAATGAAAGTAAACAAGGGAGAACTAGGTGAAAAATCATGGAAGTTTATAAAAACCCCTTCACAGAATGAAGAATTCCCAAGAACATTTTGTCTGGTTTAAATTAATAACTTATGCAATGATTAAAACACCATTTGTGTGACTCCCCCAGTTAGTCCACATAATGAGAAAGGTCAAAGCGTGACCGGTTGTATGGTTGCAGCCCTGCTCACACTCACTCTCCTAACCTTCCCTGGAGGCTCCTGGCCGTCAGCACAGAAGCATGTGCCTGGCGGAATCTCAGGAAATTTTAACTCCACTTCTTGCCTGGAGTGAAAATATCTATGGGCTCTGCCTGCACTTTTATCTTTAAAATTTAAGAAAAAAAAAATTAATAGCCACCATCATAAATAAACAAAGAGTCAAAGATAGAGTGAGTTGGTATTTCTTTACCGACTTAGGCAGAGTCACTAAGAATCAGGGCTTAGAGAAAACATTAATTTAACCCTGTAAGTATTTACCCTCTTGGAAAAACTGAAGGGCCAGAGCCCTGTCTGTTTACCTTTTCAAGCACTGCACTCAGTAGTGGTGCTTGCAGAAGAGTTTTACAGCTTCTCAAATGTGTTTTCTCACATAGCTGAAGATCACAGGGTTACTTTGTTTCCACTCTAGTAACATGATAATAGTGTTCACAGATTTCCTTTTGTTGAACTATCCTTGCATTGTTCACAAACCTTTCTAGGTCAGGATGAACTACCCTTGAGAGCATAGCTTGTTTGATTTGTTACCTTTATTTCTTCTTTAAAGAATGGAAGCTAAGGTGGCTCACACCTGTAATCCCAACATTTCCGGAGGCAGAAGCAGGTGGATCACCTGAGGTCAGGAGTTCAAGACCAGCCTGGCCAACGTTGTGAAACTCCATCTCTAATAAAAATACAAAAAATTAGCTGAGGTGATGGTGGATGCCTGCAATCCCAGCTACTCAGGAGGCTAAGGCAGGAGAATTGCTTGAACCCAAGAGGTAGAGGTTGCAGTGAGCTGAGATCACAATCCTGCATTCNGAGCTGAGATCACAACACTGCACTCCAGCCTGGGCAACAATGCCAGACTCCATCTCAAAAAAAAAAAAAAAGAAAGATAAAATGTGCTAACATTTTAACTGAGGTCTTGGTATCTTTGTTTTTGAATAAGATGAACCTATACATGTTTCTTATTATGCTGGGGTGGTTTTTTCCCCCAATGTGAGATCAGAGTTATGATAAAGACTGTTTCATCATTTGCTGTGTTCTGGAACAGTTTGAAATGACAGAACTTATCAGTTCCTTAAATGATGGTGACTATTACTTAATAAGTAACTGTGGAAGGACTTGTGAGCAGTGATTTAGCTACAGGAAGAAATAGACAAACACACACAATGTGATTCGTACACTACACAGGATTGTCCACACGCAGGTCCTTGCTGTGCACTGAATGCCTGCTACCCGCCGTGCAAGTGGCCCTAATCCTGGCTGGGTTCTCAGAGGTTCATGGTTGTTTGGTAACATTGACATTCCCTCTTGGCTCATTGCAACATCCACCATGCTGACGTGTGAGAAGAGGTAAGAGGAGAACCCCAGAGCCCCAATGATAAGGCAACGCCTCTGTGACACCCCTGCCCCCTTGGCTTCAGAGCCTCAAAGCATGGTGGCTCCCCATCACAGAAATCTGAACTCACATTGAGGACGAAGGACAGGTGGAAGGAAGTAACAGTCTTAGGTATGTTGATGCCAGATTCTGGGTTTCTCTGGAGTCTGTCCTAAAGGAAATGGAAAACCACTGAAGGTGCAGCAACAGGAGGCAAGTTAACAGCAGGTTGGCAACAGGGACAGCAGTAGGGAATTTAATTGAAAAAGACTAAAACGTTTTCCAGGAATACATGCCAAATGCGACACTTTAGCAAGATGGGAGACTTTTGCAGACAGCCAGAAAGGTTTCTGCTTAGACTTCTAAATCCTTCCTCTAGATGTTGGATTTTACTATAAACCCATTTTTTAACAACTTTTCCATTTCTAGAATTCCCTAACCCTGTCATGCTGTGGTTGTTTTTTGCTCATCTTTCCACATGTTTCTGAAGAGGAATAAATCATAGAATATTTACTGATTATATATAAGCCACAAGACATGTATACAATGTTAGTATCTTATAATAAAATTAACTATTCAAATGCACAATGAATGTTTCCGTTCCAATCATCCCAGCTACACAGTCATGTAGGAAGTAATATTTCTTAATATTTCTTTCATTCTATGTGCCAAATTAAATGAAATTTGCCAAAATATTGTACTTATCATGGTTATCATGCTAAACTAAAAAGGCTTTAATGAAACAAAACAACTAAGAGTAGAACGGTGGGGTATGTGTTCTCTCATCCATTTCTTGAAAACATCCGCATCAGGTTGCCAAAGTACTTTTCCAGTCTTGTGGGTCACAGTGCTCATCATGATTTAACTGCAGCCACATTCATGATGGGTGGCATCTACAGAGCTTTGTCAGTGCCTGTCAGTTGGGGCTTTGTTCAGCAGCCCTGAGGAGTGGGTCTTAGTGGGCCCTCTTTGCACTGACGGAAACGGAAGATCAGAGACATCTGTCTCTCACTTCAAGAGGCCGACTCACAGATCCTGGCCAGGAGCCCTATTAAAAAAATACCCAAACTTTTTAAGATAATTTGTTAATGGACGAAGTACCTACGGTTCCAACCCAGACTTTAGTACTTGGGCAGGCTTGCCTCTCAAGAATTCATGTCATTATTTATTCATTCAACAAATATGTGCTGGACACCTGCTACATGCCAGATACTGCTCTAAGCATTTGGGGCAGATCAATAAACAGCATGCCTGACCTTGTGGAGCTCACATTCTAGAAAGAAAAGCAGTCAGCACTACACAGGATTGTCCACGCACAGGTCCTTGCTGTGTACTGAATGCCTGCTACCCACAGTGCAAGTGGCCCTAATCCCGGCTGGCTTCTCAGAACTTCATGGTTGTTTAGAACATTGAAATTCCCTCTCGGCTCATCACAACATCCACCACACTGATGTGTGAGAAGAGGTAAGAGGAGAATCCCAGAGCCACAATGACAAGGCAACGCCTCTGTGACACCCCTGCCCCCTTGGCTCCAAAGCCCCAAAGTCTGGTGGCTTCTCATCGCAGATAATAAATAAGCAAATCCAACAGCATGCTGGAGGATAAGTGCTGCAGTGTAAGTAACAGCACAGCACCAGTGGGTGGGGAGACAGGCTGCGACATGGAGGGTTGACAGGACCTCTGGGCAAAGGCTAAGGAGAGTGTCTGGGGAGGAGTGTTCCAGACTGAAGTAGCCGGCAGTGTGAAGTTCTCAGCAGGTGTGTGCCCAGTGCCCCAGAGGAATAGCAAGGAGGGCACTGGGAACAGACTGGAAAAGGCACAAACACAAGAGGTCAGAGAGATGCAGGGTCAGATGCAGAGGGCCTTGGCCATCAGTGAGCTGAGGGGTTTGCGGATTGTAAGCACAGGAGTGGGAGGAGCTTTATGCTGGTTTGATGACCACTGTGCTCGCCCTCTTGATAGTAGCCTGTAAGAAGCCAAGGAAGCAATGACACTCATTGAGAAGCTTTTGCAATAACCCTTAGGAATGAGGTGGCAGAGTCTTGGGCCAGGTGACAGCAGAGGAAGAGTGAGGTGGTTGGATTCTGGACCTTTTTTGAAGGTAGAGGCAGCTGAATTTTTTCATAAATCCTGGGTATTTGATCAGATATCATAACCATATCTTCTTTTAACAGAACATAGTCTGGGAAATCAACTTGCTGTGGAAATTGCTTTGAGTTGGTCTATTGAGGATGTTTCCATGAGAACCCAGGTCTGCTAAAGCAGGGGCTGCACATTTAAGTTTTTGGAGTTTAGCAAGCTCTTGTCTAATGTCAACATTACCCTATCCGAGGGACATGAAGGGGTTCCCTTACACAGTGTTGAAAATCAGCTGGAATTTAAGACAGGGCTAAGACATTAGCAGATGCTCAAATTGTCACCGAAGGAGTTTGAAAATCTGGAAGCATTATTCTGCTAGGTGCAGGAATCAAAGTCGGTGCACAGACTAGGACCCTCAGACAAGTAGAGATGCTGAAGCCAGACGCACCATTGAAGACTGGGCCACAGGTACTGCAGCTAGTCCTGGGGCTGAGGGGAATCGTGTCTGCCAAGGCCTGCACCCTCTAGACAGGGTGCTGTGGACTGGAATTAGAGAGCTCATAACCACCTTCTCCTAGCCACTGTGTCTTCCCATTCAATGTCAGCCCTTGCTTGCTCTCTTCTTACTTCCAAAACACACAAAAATACCGAGAGGGTTTGCAGCTGATGAAGTACCAAAGGAGCGATCCAGGACTTGGCACATGTTTCTGCAAAGGACCAGACGGTAAATATTCTAGGCTCTGCAGCCACACGGTGTCTACCGCGGCTTCTCAACTAGAAGCAGCAGCAACAACGCTGAACAAATGAGCGCACATACGTCCAACAAAACCTCATTTACAAACCCCGGAATTTGAATTTCATGTGAGTTTTATCTTTCACAAAATATTATATTCTTTTTATTTTTTTTTCATTAATTCAAAAATTTTAAAACCATTCTTACCTTGTTGGCCAAACAAAACCAGACATTGGCCAATGTGAGCCCTGAACTAAATCGTATGTTTTGAAAGGGCTCTGGTGCAGCCAGGCCAGCACGGAGCCCCTAGGTCATGCAAAACGCAGTGGTCGTTCTGCTGTGGCCTCAGCTTGGTAGTGACTGCACTAAGTCCGGTGTGTGAAGCCTGGTCTCTGCTAACTCACAAAGGTGCAACGCAGGTCACCAGGCACCTCTGTTTCACAACACTTTCCTGCCATCTGCTGGACAACTCTTACAATACAATTACATGCAGATCTGCACCGACCGTGAATTTGAAGAGTCCCCTTGTAGTTTTGTGATGCATCATTTGTTCAATTTAAGCAGTGACCCTGGGTTCAGGAAATAAGGAAGAAGTAACTAATTCACAGGCATCCCAGCAGTCATCATGCAGATGACACAAAGATTCCTATTCCATCACTTTATAGTTTGGGGAGGGGGCACAAAGGGAGGGAAGGAAGACATCTTCCAATTGCCCTTATCTAGTCTCTACAGGCTTAGACTGGCGCTCTGCCTACGTTGGAGATGTTCTGCAAACCAGAGTCTTCCTTGCTAGAGTCCCACAAATGTGCCTCAGGCAGACTCTGGAGAGACAGAGAAGGGAAGAGTCCGTCAGCACTTCCTGGTTTGAGCGTCACACAGCGACTCCACACAGTGCGGGGTTCTATGAACTCCTGCAGAGAGCCAGGAGTGCTGCTAAGCTTTCCCAGGTATGCGTGACCATGTGTATCTCCATCTGTGTGCCTTAGGCCAGCACCTGCCCTTCTCCTGCCTTGGTATCTCTGTCCCTTCAATGGGGATAACACTACTAGACGTTGCTGCCTCATAGAGACAGTGTGACCATGGAACAAACACCCCTTGCACAGCATAATCGGGATCAGCAGTTCTGAAGCTGCAAGGCTGGAGAGAGAACAGGAGGTGAAAAAAAAGGGCGAGTTAGACCACAATTGTGGGTTGCGGTCGAGAAGCTACAGCATGCAAGAGATTACCCGTGATGGGGCTCCAGGCTTCCCAGCCTGGCAACAGATCCCCAGGTTTCAAAATGAAAAAGGAAAACAGCTAGAGACCAAGACCAAGGGATACGTGCAAAGACTATGAGGTCCACTGTCTCTGATTTAAAACCAAAACATTTGCCATTTGCTCTAGAGAATCAGGGAAGAAAGACACAGGATGATCTGTTTGGCCCCAATTCCCAGCTCCTGGACATTTCCAGGACCTGTAGGCAGGGGAGAATCCAGGACAAGAGTCTCACAGCAAAGCAGGTGTGCCCAGGACCAAAGAAGGCTTGGGAAGCCCACAGTACACATCAGCTGGAACTCAGTGGGCCTGGGACTCAGAGTGCCCTGTGTTTGGCCTGGGGGGACCCGGGGCAGGGGGTGTGATGTGCAAATCTCGGACCCAGTTCCGGTAATACAAAACTATCCCAGGGAAAAGCGAGCGGATTCCAGTGTTGTGACAGCTGCAGAGGGCGGCTCAGGACAAAGATGCCTGCGTGAGGACAATGGGTCCTTTGTGGGTGCAAGGGAGGTCTTTGGGGGACAGAGCAGTTCAAGGGGGTCTGGTGGCCCCTTTGGCTCCTTCCAGAACACTTGCGAAGGAGACACTGCGTGGGAAGGCTGAATGTCATGGCTCCACCAACCCCTTGTCCAACATGAACTGACCAAGCCCTTGATCAGCTTTAAAAACTAGTCTGTGGCTGGGCGCAACGGCTCACGCCTGCAGTCTCAACACTTTGGAAGATCGATGCAGAAGGATTGCTTGAGCCCAGCAGTTCAAGAACAGCCTGGGCAATACAGGGAGATTCCATCTCCACAAAAAAAGAAAAAGAAAAAAAAAAACTAGCCAGGCATAATGGTCTGGGAGACAGAGCAAGATTCTGTCTCCAAAGACATAAAAATACAAACTAGTTTCCATCTCCTCCACCACACACCATGCTTAAACTCAGCACTAACGCTTTCATGCAGGACAATGGTTGACATGCTCTACACCTCCTTAGCGCACAGACGGCAATGGCACAACACCACTGCCAACCAAGCCCAGGCCAACATGGGACTCCACTCTCACCCAGATTTGGAAAGCAGACTGGTCACTGGCCAGCACTGTTTAGAACTATCCAGAAGGCTCAAGGACTCATGGGCTGTCTTCCTCCCTTCCCTTCTCCCAGCTCCCATCTCCCTCCACTTTCCCTGCCCACAGCCCTGGGGAGTCAGATCCACAAGGCACAGCTACCCTTGGCCACCAAGGTAAGCCTGGCTGTCCTAGGGAGCAGGCTCTGTCCCTCTGAGCTGCTCACCAAGCCACAGGCACAAAATCCTGCACCGTCCCCCCAGCAGCTGCCACCCTGCTGAGCCCAGATGGTAGCTTTTAGTGGGTATTTCCTGAAGACACAGGAACAAGCCAAGGGAAATGTAACAGAGAACTTAGGAGGCTCTGCCTCTGTCCTAGAGTCCCTGAACTGACCCCCTGCCTTGCCCAGGATGCCTGTGCATGGCAGGGGTATGACCTGCCCACCAGTACTAGTCAGGGTCAGGCCATGCCTTGGCCCCCACCCTTCACTCTTGGGGGAAAGCTCTCAATCTGTCAAAATCCACACATGTGGGGCTGTCTTTATGAGTCTGCCCAGACATCCCAGGCCCTCCCAAGTCTATGCCCTTCCGTAAGACCCTCCAGTTCCCAGGATAGTGACAACAAAGGCCCATTCCCCTCAGGAGAAGCCCCCTCTACTCAAGGTGTGGCCTTGGAGCTGTGACCCAACCATGTCCAGAGGCACACAGACTGAAGTGCGGCCAGGATCACCCATGCTGGCCTGCCCCTGCCCTCTGATGGTTCCTCCTTGCCCAAGGACCGTCCCCTCCCCAGTGAAATCCTGACTCACGGATGCTCTGGGGAAAGCAGAGGTAACTGCAGAACCAGAAAATACAGATACAACCCTAGCTTCTCATCTAGAGAGTGCCACCCATTTATGAGGTCAAAGATCGGTAAGGCAATGAAGTAGAGCCACCCCAGGACTGGTGTGGTCCTCATCCACAGCACGTGCAGACACATGGTACTGCAAGCTACAGGCACGGCTTCTTTATCTCTAGAATTGTGTGTGTGTGTCCATGTGTGTCTGTGTGTATCCATGTGTGTCTGTGTCTGTGTGCCTCTGCATGTCTCTGTGTGTGTCTCTGCATGTCTGTGTGTGTGCCCTCCAGGCTGGGTAGGGGCAGAAAGAGTTGGGAGAGGAAGCTTGAGACAGGCCCAGGCCAGAGGCCCTGCTCCTTGGGTTAAGTGCAGTGGGCTTGAAGGGGGATGTGCAGTGGCCTCCCTCAGAAAGTCTGAGGACCTGGTCTAGGGCTGAGGTTGGAGGACAGCCTGGCAGGCCCAGCACCAAGGCTCTGGGATAGGCTGTATCACCTGCCTCTGGGGTGCAGGGGATCTGGGCACATTTGGCACCCACGGCAACCCCATCTTCCCTGAAAGGCTGCGGAGGGAGGGCAGCCAGAAGTTTCATGGAAACCCCTGGTGGACTTGAAAGCTGGACAACCCAGGCGAATCTGATCACCGGAGTAGGAGGTGGGGAGGCTGCAGTAAGCCATGATCACTCCACTGCACTCCAGCCTGGGCCACAGAGCAGGACCCGGTCTCTAAAAAAATTAATTAACTAACATGACTGAGAAGTGACTAACTTGGCAGAATTCACCAGAAGCGGTCCACTGCTCTCTATCAGTCATGAAATAGTAACTAGACTAGAATTACAGAATATAATGGAAGTTACATTTTTTTTGTGGGCATCCAACTGGGAACTCTGGACCCACGGCCAGGCCTCCCACGAGTCTATGGACACTCCCCTGCGCAACTGCCCCCTCCAGCTGGCCCAGGAGCGCGTGTTCCAGCCCGCCCCACTCGCGGGACCTGCCGTAGGAGGGGAGGGGAAAGGAAAGGAAGAAAGCCGAGTCCGCCTCCCCTCGGGTGTAATCTGTGTGCTGACTTCAGAAGGACATCCTCAGGTCAGAAGATTTAGCTTGGAACGAAAGTCAGTAAACTCCGCCCGACGAAACAAAGACCAAGGCTCTCCAGGCCCTTCCCGAGGTCCTTCGCACGACGAAGCCCCGCAGTGGGGAGGGCCCAGGAGCGCCCCTGCCGGGCCCAGGAGCGCCCCTGCCGCGCCCCGGCCGCGCCCCTGCTGGGAGCTTCCTGCGCCGTGCGGAGGCCCGGGGCGGTCCCCGTCAGCGTTTCCATACGCGGGAAACACTAGGCGACGTCTAAGTAGCGCTTGGAAATCGCGACGTGCCGGCGGACACCCGGACTCCCCGCGCGCACAGCAGCCAGGCAGAGCCTGGGCGCGGAGCCTGAGCCAGACTCCACGTGGCTCCCCTTTGGCCCCAGGGAACTGTCGCCGCCGGGGTCCGTCGCTCCTGTCCTCTCGGCTATCCGCTGGCGCATCGGCACAGGGGTTTTCCCGGGCAGATCGGATCCAGCCTGTGCTGCTTCTGAGCCGCAGGAAGTCGCTGGGACCAGCCTAAGGAGGAAACTGCAAAACCTCTAATTGGCAGAACCTCGGAGGAACCTTCCGAGAGGTGGGGCTGCAGCTGAAGGTAGCAAGCAGAGACGGAGAGAAGTGCGACGCGTGCCAACACCAATACATACATACATAAATACTTGGAAAACCACCCAATGTTAAATTTTAAATTGGAAACGTTCCAAATGCCCAACAGCACGGGAATGGATAAGTATAGTACCTAGCTAGAACGGACGGCACCGGCCAGTCTAAAAGGAGGGTACAGAGTTTGTTGTAATTTTGGAAATTATAATTAATACCCATTTAACTGAGGAGATAATTTTTATTTACTAATATAATCTCATTTATAGCTTTAAAATGTGTCTAAAAATAGCAATTCCATGGTGATTTTATTTTTGTTTGATAGAATGGGTAACAATTCATATATGAATGAATACGTTACCCAAGAAGACAAACAGGTTAGAGTGACCTTGTGCGAAAAAGAAAACTCCATCTGCTTCTGAACGAGGCGTGAGGTTGCCTGTGTTGCCTGCCTTCTTGGACATGGTGCAGAAGAGCTGGGGCTCTGCCCCACAGTGCCCACTTCCTCTGTAACAGGCAGGGTGCTGTCTGCTGAGGAAAGAGCTGTGGCCTGAGGAGAGGACAGTGGATTCCTCAAAGTAGAGCCCAGGGAGTGGAGGAGGGACAGGATAGGAGCTGGGTAGGAGACAGGGAGTCCAGCACCGGAAGCATGAACCCTGGGGCCGGCTGCTTGGGCTGGTGTTGCAGCCTCCCAGCTTGGCAGCAGCAGGTGAGCCCTTAACTATGGCTCCCATGAGGTCCCCTTCTCTCAGGAGGGTAGTAATGGTCCCTGCTGCTATGTTTTGAATACTCCTCCCTTCAGAACTCATGTTGAAACCTAATCCTCATGTTAATCCTAATCCTCCATATTGAGAGTTGGGGCCTTTAAGAGGTGACTGGGTGATGAAGGTTCTGCCCTCTTGAATGCGTTAGTCCATTCCTGGATTAATGGATTGATGAAGGGGTTGATGGGTTCATGGGTTATGCAGTAGGACTGGTGACTTATAAAAAGGGAAGAGAGATTTGAGCTGACACGCTCAACCCCCTGCTGTGTGATGCCCTGAACCACCTCTGGGCTCTGCAGAATCCCTGCCAGCAAAAATAGCCCTCGACCTTGGACTTACCATTCCCCAGAACTGTGAGAAATAAAATTTCATTTCTTTATAAATTACCCTGTTTCAGGTATTCTGTTATAAGCAACAGAAAACAGACTAAGACCCCTGCTTCCTACAGCTGTAGAAAGCGGCACACATTAGCATCCACAGACCCCTAGGAAGAGGTTCCCCATGGCATAGACACCCAGGAAATAACTGTCTGCTGAGCCTGTGGATTCGCAGGT